TGAGCAGGACAACGAGTTGTGTCATTCCCGCCAGTCTTGTGACTGCGGGTATATGGTGAGGCCTGGCCAGTGCGGCGCGATGGTGGGCCCCTTCATTGTTTCCATGTTCTTTGCCACGCTCACTCGCCCACTTTTAGCAGGAGGAAGAGATTCTTTGGAGCATGACTCATGCGCGAAGGAGCTGGCAGCGAGGTAGGGCGACCTCAGAGCGGATCTATCCCCACTGACGTGTACAGGCGAGCTTCATTATCTAGTATTGTGCGACGTTAGTGTTCCTCTGGAAGACGCATTACGGCAACTACGATCACCATAATCTCTTAAACCACCACTTCGAGGAGTACGGGTATGGGCAAAACATGGGTAAGCAAGGTTTTCTATTTCATTTCAGCGCAGGGAAACAGCGCAGCAAGACGATAAGCCGCGACGGCACAGATCTGCTCAGTGGCATTGCAGGCGATCTGGTTCGTTACCTCGGGCCGCACTTGGTGGATGGAGAGACGGTGTTTCACTGTATTGCACGGCGACTCCAAGCTTCCTGGGTTTCCAGTAACAGTCGTGGTCGCGTGTGGTCGCTACCTCCCCCTTATCGTTTCACAGGCCCCCCTTGCCATGGTCTGGCTTAGAAAGCCCTTATGAGCGGGCTGGAACCTTTGATCCTTCAGAAGGCAGGCGATGATCGATTGGGCCGTGGACCGACAGCGATGGGGACGGCATGTGTAAGGATGGCCATCGAGGGGGAGGAGGAGGAGGAAGAGGAGGAGGAGGAGGGGGAACAAGGTCAGGAGTTGTAGTAACAAGCAGGTCTTAAGCAATTGGGGGATCGCACGTATTAGGGTATACATGTTGATCCGAAGTCTTCGGCTCTACCAGAATTGGGCGCGTAATGGCAAGAACCCCATTCAGGTGTTATAGTGTCCCCTTGGTGAAATGCACCTGGATCAGTTTCGGCCACAGAGTGTGGTTGGCCAGCCTGCCCAGTTCTCATCGCCCTGAGTTCTTCAAGTTAGAGATGACATGGCCACGGCGGCATACTTGCTAGAGGAAGGCAGACTGGAGATGGTTGCAGTTGGCATCTGATTCTCAACAGGCCCAGATGTATCGGCAGAGTTTGCATCGCACGTTGTCTCCCAGGCCAGAGCTCGCTGGTACTCTAAGACTGCCCCCCCGCCCGATTACGAGCCCGCCCAGGAGGGCGAGGAGGAGGAGGACAGGAACGCCGACCTTGCATCCGTGCCTATCGTGTGCGGCATTAAGAACGTGGGAGGGGAGAGTTGCACTGCCACTTGTTCGACGAGATCTCGACGTAAGAATTATACGGGGCGACGTGCACTTGATCAGAAAGTTGGCCCACATCCCTACGCCTGACAACGTCTGCATCAAGTGCTCCCAGGTCTTTGCCAGCAGGTCGAACACGGGGCAACATCTACAATGGTCAATGGAGCGGGTCAATTGTCAGACTAGTTGGACGTCTGCCTTTAGGACTAACGCTTGCGTGCCGAAGTCTCGGGATGGGGCTCGAGCCTAAAAGAAGTGTGCACGCACTTCTGTTCCCACCTTCCTGTGGGTATTGAAACGTTCGACCCCGTTGGTCAAGGCGGCGGCAGCGGCGGCGGCAACTACGCTGGACTCGCCTTCGTGGTTCAACATGGGCAAGCTCGCCAAGCGCGACGGAGAGGAGGAGGGCAAGGACGGGGGAGGCGACAAGGATGGGAAGAAGGCGAAGGGGGAGCAGCTGGGGACGGGGAGGCGGCGGCAAGCAGATCATCCAGTGCACGAGGCGCCCCTTCCCGTCCACAGTTCGCGAGGTAGCCGACAGCCAGTCGGCAGTGCATGTCCCAGGTACGGCGTCCCAGCAGGCTGTGGGGTTGGCAGCTGCCCTCACTCGAGCAGGGAAAACAACCATGCGACGACGAGAGCCAGTGCCCTCAGAAGCGCCAACAAGGAGGCCAGGAAGTTGACCTCAAGACCAGCTCTCCCTCCTCCTCCTCCTCCTGTTCCTCCTCCTCCTCATCCTCCCCCCCATGTCGTCCCCCTCCTCTTCCTCCGTCTTCTCTTCCTCGTCCTCATCCTCCTCCTCCTCCTCCTCCTCCTCCTCCTCCTCCTCCTCCTCCTCCTCCTCCTCCGCTTCGGCTACGCTCCACCTCCTCCTCTTCCTCCTCCTCCTCCCCTCATGTTCATGTGACCCCAGCAACAGCAACAGCCGTCTACGGAGGAACCCGCACAGTCGCAGCAGGAGGCTCAACGACGGAGGAGGTGATGAACAAGTAGGCGTCACGTCAGCTATGGGGGCAAGATCAAGAATGCATCGGTGAAAGAGGTCGCCTGCTCGGCCCCCTGCTTCCGTCTCAAGCTCCAGAACAATAGAGAGTACGGCATCGCGTGCCATAATTGAGACCTTCAATCAGGACTCTCCGCTCGGGGCGGGCCTGGCGGTCTTAGTAGAAGCTCTGCACATTAAGGAGGGGGAGTTTCCTCGCAGGCCTTGCCCCAGGGAAGAGGCATCAACGATGTTGGAATTCTTCACGCTTCGCGTATCCCCACCAGCCCATCTCAAAACAGCAACTCTAGCGAAGCATGCCGACAGTCGTGTTTTTCAGGCGTGTTTCCGCCTGCCCCCGCATATCTCCCTTGTTCCTCCTTCCTCCCGCCTCCTTGTACATCCTCTTGTGTGGTGGGAGCGGGAGAAGGACGAGGCGGAGGAGGAGGGAGAGAAAGCGCTCCTCGTGGTTTGAGTCGTTCGGGCTTCTCGTCCTGGTGTGAGTCGTTCGGGCCCTTCTTCCTGGTGTGAGTCGTTCGGGCTCTTCGTGGTGTGAGTCGTTCGGGCTCTTCGTCCTGGTGTGAGTCGTTCGGGCTTCTCGTGGTGTGAGTTGTTCGGGCCCCTCGTCCTGGTGTGAGTCGTTCGGGCCCCTCCTCCTGCCCGTCCAGAAACGACGCCCAGGCGAGTAGAGGGTCGTCCTGATGGGCTTTTCGGCGTCTTGGGTGCCTCGGGGGGGCTCTTTGGGCCGGTTGGGATCCTCTTGGGGGCCTCCTGGGGGCCTCTTGGGGCCATCTTGGGGCCTCTTGGTGCCTCCTGGGCGCTTCTTGGGGCCATCTTGGAGGAAATCGATCAAAGAAGAGGGGAGCTTTAATTAGCGCTGCCCCCTCTGAAGGCCAAAATGGGGCCAAAACCTTAGTAAAATCGATGATTTTGGCTTGAAAGAAGAGGGGAGCGTTAATTAGCGCTGCCCCCTCAGAAGGCCAAAATTGGGCCAAAACCGTAGTAAAATTAATGATTTTGGCTTCAAAGAAGAGGGGAGCACTTGTCTGCCTCCCCCCGTCGGGGCCAGAATCCTCGTGAGGGGTGTCGTTTTTTAGCCCTCCCAGGAGTCGAAAAAGACCCCTCCAACGACCCGCGGGGCGCCCTCTCCAGGCCCAGGGGGAGGGGGGAGGGGGAGGGGTAAACCCCTCCCCGAAGGGGAAGAAGGGGGGTTGAGAACAGAGAGAGCTCTCTAAACCACTCACGCCCAAAGGGCTGGTGGGATTAACCCTCCCCCCAAGCTCCCTCTTCATAGGCCCCTTCAACGGCGTATTTTTTTACTGAGGGAACTGCCTCGTCAGAAGACAGCTGTTTGAAGACCCTGAAGCATGCCAAAACATTGTTATTGGTGTTCCAACGCCACGGATCAACCTGACTGTTGCGCCCTGACGATCCTGAATCGTGCTAGAACGCCACCCCTGGGTCTTGAACACCGCAAATCAACATAACTTGTGCACCCTCGTAAGCCTGAATCTCTTCTAAGCACAATTTCCGCTACGGTGACCCTGGGAACCCGTGAAACTCTTGCAAGTGTTGCGGCGCTAAGGCGAGGGCCACATGTTTAAAGGGAACCGCCCTCAATCCGTGAAACTCTTACAAGTTGTTAGAACGAATGCGCGCGGCGCCAAGGCGAGAGCCACATGTTTAAAACCACTCGCCCTCCATCCGTGAAGCTCTTGCAAATGTTGAAAACGATTGTGCGCGGCGGTACGGCGAGAGCCGCATGTTGAAAACGACCCGCCCTCCATCTGTGAAACGGTTGTCCATGTTTTAGCTTCAGTGTCATAATTAGTGAGAAAGTCTCAGGCGAAACGCCCGACCCGCCCTAAAACTGGCCTCGGGGTGCGACAGGGAGAAGTCATTTATAAGGAGAAGGAAATGAGGAGGAGGAGGAGGAGGAGGAGAAAGAGGAGGGATGAGGAGGAGAAGGAGGGAGGAGGAGGAGGAGGAGGAGGAGGGGGAGGAGGTGGAGGAGGAGGAGGAGGAGGAGGAGGAGGAGGAGGAGGAGGAAGGAGGAGGAGGAGGAGGAGGAGGGAGGAGGAGGAGGAGGGAGGAGGAGGATGAGCAGGAGGAGGAGGAGAGGGCGGAGGAGGAGGAGAAGGAAGACTTGAGGCACCTCGTGCCTCCGAGCCTGCCTCTCCGTGCTCGTTGCACGCGGGCCTCGAGTGCGGGCCCGAGCCTGCCTCTCCGCGCCCGTTGCGTGCGGGCCTGGCCTGTGCTGCCTGGCGCAGAGCGCGGGGGAGGACCGTGCAGTTACATCGGTGTGTTTCGGAAGGAACATTCGCAGAGTCCTGATGTTAGTCGCGAGGCCAGGGCCGCTTGCCTGGCCCAACTTTGGGGGACCCCATGAGCTCGTTTGCTCATTCTTCCGTTCCACCTCCTCTTCTTTCATGCCTTTCCTCCCCCAAAGTTGTGTGCGCTCCTCCTGTTCCTCCTCCACCACCTCGTTCTGTCATCGTCCTGATCCCTCGTTCCCACTCTTCCTCGGGCGGCAACCAACGATTCGACTGTTTCGAGATGTCGGCCTTGGAGCGTTCGACCCAGTCCCCACGACCAACCTTTTCACCCTGGGTCGTTCCTGACGGCCCCAGAGGCCTGCGAACGGCCCCCTGACGGTGAGCACAACTGCACAGGGAATGTGGCGCGATCTGTCGCCCGTCGCATTGAAACCATCCTCGCCCTTCCGCCCCCCCCCCCCTCGAAGTCCAGCTGCACGGGGAAGCTCCTGGGGCTGAGCCGCCTGGACTCGTGGCTGGCCGACATCACGAGGAGGCGGTTCCACGGGCGGCCTCCCGTCGTCGTCCGCGGCAACCACGACGCAGCTGAGGCCGGCGCAGCCCCGCCGAGGCGATGGAGGAGGACGGTGTGCGGGAGGGGTGGCGAGGAGGAGGAGGAGGAGGAGGAGGAGGACGTCGAGCTGTGGTGGCGGGAGCAGGAGGAGGAAGTGCAGCAGGATGGCACGGAATGAGGATCAAGACGAGGAGGAGGAGGAGTCAAAGAACGAGGACGAGGAAGAGGAGGAGGAGGTTGGTGAGAGGAGGAGGAGGAGGAGGACAAGGAGCAGGAGGACAAGGAGGAGGAGGACGAGGAGGAGGAGAGGGAGGAGGAGGAAGAGGAGGAGGCGGAGAGGGATGTGTGTTGTAGTCGAAAGAAGAATAAGTGTCACGACGAGGAGATGGAGGAGGAAAAGCAGCAGCGAAAACAAGAAGAGGAGGTGGACCGGGATGAGGAGGAACAGGAGTTTGTGCTGGAGGAGGGGAATGAGAAGGGGTCGAGGTAAGAAGCGGATATATAATAAGTTGGAGGGGGAGGAGGAGGAGCAGGAGGAGGAGGAAGGCAAGGAGGGAGAGCACGAGGAGGAGGAGGAGGAGGAGGAGGACGACGACGACGACGAGGAGGAGGAGGGGGAGGAGGGGGATGCGGAGGGAGATTGATGTTGTAGTAGAAGCAGGAATAGCTGTTTGCACAATGAGGACAAGAAGATGGAGGAGGAACAGCAGCAGCAAGAGCTGGAAGAAGAGGGGGAGCGGGATGAGGAGGAATATGAGTTTGTGTTGGAGGAGGGGAATGATACGGAGTTGAGGTGAGAAGCGGAGATAGGATGAGTTGGAGGGGGTGAGGAGGAAGGCAAGGACGGAGAGCACAATGAGGAGGAGGAGGAGGAGCATGCTGAGGAGTATAAAATCCATATGAAAAAATGTGACGGCCGAGGTCCGTGTCCGTGCGCCCCCAAAAGGCGAGGAGGTCGCATAGATTGGGACGGAGTATCGGCCGCGCGCGCGTGGGGGAATGGGAGGGCGGAGAGGGAGGAGGCGGGAAAGGGGGAGGGCGGGGGAGAGGACAGGGGCGAGGCGGAGGAAGTGGCGGAGGGTTGAGGAGGGCGAGAGCAGGGGAGAAGCAGAGGGAGGCGGAGGAGTGGGGAGGAGACGCGGGAGGAGGAGGAGGAAGAGGAGGATGAGGAGGAGGAGGAGGAGGAGGAGGAAGGAGAGGAGGAGGAGGAGGAGGAGGGGAGGAGGAGGAGGCGGAGGCGGAGGAGTGGGCAGGAGACGCGGGAGGAGGAGGAGGAGGAATCCCACAATGCCCAGGAGGATAGGGGAATTCCGCAATGCCCCGCACCGTGCGGAAGGCAGCGCGAGGAATCCCAGAATCCCGCTTTCTCATCCTGCTCCTCCGTCCTCCATATCGTCATCTTCCTCCCCTTCCTCTCCTCCTCCTCCTCCTCCTCCTCTCCTCCTCCTCCTCCTCCTCCTCCTCCTCCTCCTCCTCCTTAGCATCCTCTTCCTCTGTTTCCTCTTCATGATGGCACAAACGCTCAACCAGCACATCCAGGAAAGTACGCGCAAGGCTTAATACTCTCTGGGGCGCTCCTGGCTCGTAGGGCGAGTACCTCGCAGGATCCAGATTATTGTTTTTTTTCAGGCGCGAGTTCAGTCGACAGGCCTCAGTGGACGCGAGGCGACCCTTCTTAACAGCAGTGATGATAACGTGATTGGTGATCTACTCATCCAGTGCGGCAAGGTGGTGTTGAACGGGGACGCGGTCTTGAAGTCCGACAACCCAGATGGCGGCATCAAACATGTCCCCCTCCCCTCCCAACAGACGTGGACACCGCTTGGTCACGCCGTCTACGATGGCCCCAGCAGCTGGTCGTCTACGATGGCCTCAACATCTTGCTGCCCGTGTTGGCCAGGTGACTGGCGAGACCGGGCCGACCATACGTGCCTGGCTCCTCGCTCGCAGCGCCGAGGGAGGTTTTTGAGGCACCCCGTGGGCCGTACAGGTGCTCAAAGACGTAAGAATGTTCTCCCTTTTGGGCCTTGGCAAGGAACTCTTGCAGGCCACGGGGAGCATCCACCTAGGATTTCTCCAGGAGAAGTTCGCCCCTGGGTCCAACGAGACCAACTTCCAGAAGCTTCGGAGTCTCCATCTGGATCCTATGTTTCATGAGACGTGGCGTCTTTGGACGAATACCGCTCCCGTACCGAACTCTGGAGGTGGAGAAGGAGATCGAGGCCAAGTGCCCGCTCCCTGCCCTGCTCCCTTTGGACCCCGAGTGCGCGCCTCAATCTGGGACCTGGACTTGCCAGGGAACCATTCCTGCGGGAGTGCCTGCGGGCTCGAGTTCAAGGAACAACAGGGGTGGTATGTTCATGCGCGTGTCTGTGAAGAGGGGAGGCATGGGGGAGGACGCTTTCGCAAACACTTCGTCCGATGCTTGTGTTATCCCGACAGCATGTGCGACGGCCATTCCAGAGTTGGGCATGGCAGTGTGATCGTTGCCCTCTTCATCATTCGATCGTGGAACTGTACTGATGTAAACGCCCAGCTTGCAATCATGACAATCCCCCTCACGGCATTCCAGCTACACACACGATCTGACGTGGATTTCTCCGACGTTGTATTTTCCTTTTCGGCTGACAGCGCAGTGGGTAATGTAAGTCACCCCGACCGACCTGGAGAGTCACAAGCACAGACTGGCCGAGAGTTCACTGGCGCTCTCATTCTCAGCTGGCGGATTCGGAGGGGGGCCAAAGCACATTCGCATGGCAAGCGTTGCGACATCCCCAGCGGTCGGCAAGGACCCTACGATGGAGCTAGACGAGGATTCAGAGGACGAAACGGCGACGGAGATATTGAAAGGGTATGCGAATTGCAGCCAACTTACGAGAGGCCTGGGGGGAGCAGTGCTTACTACGCATTGTGCCCCGCACGAGTGTAGGTCAAACCAGCAGGAGTGGCAGCAGCTCAGACGTACCTCGAACTTGTTTTAAGCACCTCTGGGATCATCAGTACGGGCCCCCGAGCGTGAGCGTAGCGCTAGCAGCTCTTCGTACCATAGTCAAACACTCGACTCTTCTGGTGAACCCCTTTCTCGCGCACCCTCTCAAGATGATCAAGGGCCTCCTAGATTGGTTCCAGGGCCAGTAGTAGTAGCAGCCAAGCTCGTCACGCATTGAAGGGCCAAGACGGCCTACTAGAAGGAGGGAGTCCCCAAACTGGTCCGCCGCACGTTTCTCGTCAACAGCTGGGTGAACGGACCAGGAGGGGTCCTCCCTCACATGAGTGCGGTGATGCCAACCGTCTCCATCGATCTCGGGAGCGTTGGTTGCGAAGATGCCCCCCCCCCGAAGCCAACGCCAGAGCGTCGGGCCCAGAGTTATCTCGAGAAAATGCCCAGAGGTGCCTGCCACAAGAGAGCCCAGATCAGTCTGAGAATACAGCAAATGCTGCGCCTGTGAACGGACCCCCCCCCCTTTGGCTCCTCTTCCTCCGCCGCCCCTTGCCTCGTCAACCCCTCCCTGCCCCACCCCCCCTCATGGGTCCGTTCTCGAGCGAGGCCGAACCCCATGCAGGGGAGGGTGGGATACCATTCGCAGCTCCGACGGCAGAGGCCGACGAGGAACGGGGAAAGGGAAGGGTCGCCCGCGTTGAGGCGCTGCTGCAGGCAGCTGACCGCCCCACCCTATGCATTGTGAATGTTAGCGTGCCTCTCCTCCTCCCTCTGCTCCCCTTGCGTCGTTCGCCCGCCCCCCGTTCCCTTGGCTCCACATCGTCCTGAGAGGACTCTCTCGACCATGGTCCGCTTTTTAGCGTGATGAGTGCAGGCCGCTCGACGCTGTGCCGTGCTCTGCTCGAGGTGTTCCCGCGTCGACACGAGGAGGGGTTCCTTCGAGACTTTTGACAACGATGTGAGCAGAATGCCTCACACGCGCTTTTTTTGATTCGCGGGTCGAGAGCGCATCTCTTCCAGTCGAAGCTAAGCACTAATGCCTCACACGCGCGTTGCGGTCGCATTCATCATTTTGATGTTGTAACGTAACGTGCAGACTGGCCATCCAGCCAGCCAACCTCCTCCTCCTCTTCCTCCTCCTCCTCCTCCTTCTCCTCCCTTCCTCGTCCGCCCCCTCCTCGTCCTCCCCCTCCTCCTTCTCCTCCTCCTCCTCCTCCTCTTCCTCCTCCTCCTCCTCCTCCTCCTCCTCCTCCGGCGTCTCCTCCCCACTCCTCCGTCTCCCTCTGCCTCTCCCCTGCTCCTCCTTCTTCTTCTTCTTCTCCTCCTCCTCCTCCTCCTCCTCCTCCTCCTCCTCATCCTCCTCCTAGTCCCTTCCTCCTCCTCCTCCACCACCATTACTCAATATGAATACTACTCTCCCTCTTCCCCTGATGACGGTTTGAAAGTGTCCGACCCCCCCCGCGTATTGTTTTTTACACACAGGTTTCCCCGGAGTTGTGTTTTCGCCTGCATTTTTTCCAAAATGCTGCTCTCGCTGAGGCGCCGGCCTCATTTTCGGGCCCCGCTCGTTCCGAATCGTGCTCCCGCTGCAGCGCTGGCCTCATTTCCGTGCTTCCGCTCGTTCCGAATCGTGCTCCCGCTGCAGCGCTGGCCTCATTTCCGCGCTTCCGCTCGTTTCGACTCGTGCTCCCGCTGCAGCGCTGGCGTCATTTCCCGTGCCATGCCACGGCATGCAATGCAATCTTAGGTTGATACTACGCTTTGCGGTGCTCTTCTACGCCATGCCATGCCGTGCTCTACAATACATCGCGTACCCTTTCGGAATCATTGCCCTGCTCGACATCCGACTGTGCGAGTAGACAGGGGATCTGCGCCATGGTAAGGGATGGGAGGGAGGGGTAGGATGTCAGATATGACGCGAGCGCACCTAGCTTGTCCTCCTCCCCCTCCCCCTCCTCCTCCCCCTCCTCCTTTCTGGGGCCCCAGAAGCAGGGCCGCGAAGGAGGCCGAGGAGGACCGCCGCGCTGCCAGCATGGGCCGCCCGGCTTTCCGGCCAAGGCGCCGTGGCCTTGGCCGCCGGTGGAGCGCAGCGGTCACGGCGCGCGGTCCAGCCGCTTCCGCACACGGCCAGGGCAAGGATCATCGACCCGTTCCAGAGCGTTCCGGGACGCGGCCAGGGCGTTCACGGTCTGAGAAGGCCGCGGTGCCCGAGGTGTCTTCCAGAGCAGCCCGACAGCACAGATGCTCGACTGATCCTCACCCGGTGTTCTCCTCGTCTTGGCTTCGTCTTACTGTTGCGCACCTCAGCTGAGAGGCAGGCTCGGGCTGCCCACGCCCGGGCCAGGGCGGTGCGGCTGCGCCAGCTGCGCCCGCGGGGCCTCGGCCTGTTGCGCGTCATCGGGGATGCCGCCCCTCGGCGCTGGGGGTTGCCCCCGGCCAGGTGTTGCGCGGAGATGGTCAGCGCCCCGGGCCTCCAGCGAACCAAGAGCGAAGGGATGGCAGTGGGCTTCACATTCAGTTCGGCGCTCATGGCCCCGAGCGTCGCGGGAGAGATTTTCTTCAGAGGGGGAACAGGTACCCGTACCGCCACTTTTGGCTCATTTTCCCTGTGCGGGCCTCCTGGAAGGCCCTCGAAGCCACCGCTGGATTCGCTTCCAAATGTTGGTCAGAACGCACCTTGGAGAGGTCAAGGAGTAGCGGTATTGGTACCTTTTTGGTTTCCCCATTTCTTGCCGAAGGGCTTGATGTTGCTGTGCGTATTGCTGAAGATGTTCGCTCTAATGGGCACTCTGTTCAAGATCGTACTACCACAGGCCATGCTGCCGCACAGCTTCCTGGTGAAGCTGGTCTTGCAGTTGGACTTCATAATCAACCTTGCAGCGCCTACCAAGCACTGGCAGCACATCCAAATTCCAGTCAGACGCACCCGCTATCCCACCTGGCCGTCCCTACACCGGCAGGGGCCAGGGCAGACCTGGGCCGCAACGCGCCCTGCTTCGGCAGGAAGGTGCCGCCCCAGCGCTCTACGGCAAGGGCGCAGGCATCGGCAAGGGCACAAGAACAGGCAATGAATCCTCCCGCTCCTGCTCTGAATCCTCCTCCTCCTCCTCCTCCTCCTCCTCCTCCTCCTCCTCCTCCTCCTCCTCCTCCTCCTCCTCCTCCTCCTGCTCCGACTCGCCGGCGGCATCGCGCGTGATCTCGGGGCCCGTCGGCCTCGACGGCGCAGGAGGGCGGGGGCGAGAAGACGGGGCCCAGGCAGCGAGGCTCCACGAGGCCCCGCGCAGCGCGCCCGCCCGCGCTTTTCGGCCCCTGCGGCGGCGCGGCGCGGGCGCGCCGCGGGGGCTGGCGCGTGGCTGCCTCCCTCGGGCAGGGCGAGAGGGGGGGGGACAGGGCTAAGTCGGGCCTGTCCCCCTACAGGGGGATGTGCGACGAAAAATACAGAATACCCCAAAAATTATCAAAAGATAGTGCAAAAATGATCAAAAGATAGTGCAAAAATAGTCAAAAGATAATGCAAAAATAGCCCAAAAGAATTATTTGACCGTATTGGGGCATTGTTTGGGTATTTTTTTTCGTCGAAAATCCCCCTGTGGGGGGACAGGCCCGACTTAAGGATCGGGAAAGGGGGGGGGCTCGAAATCTGCTGCATGTAGCCGGTTTCGGCCCCACCGAGGGGCCAATTCCTCGATACAGGGCCGCTTCCGGCGCCGGGAGGCGCCGGGAAAAACAGCTACTAGTGAGCTGATTCTCAAGCCCCCCCTCTGCTATCCCCCCCTCCCGCCCGGCCCGCTTCCCTCCCCCGCGGCCGCCTGCCTGCCCTCTTCCCCCTTCTTGCTTGCTGGCCAGCTCCCTGTCCGGTGCCCCCGTCCAGCTCTTTCGCCGGCGCGGCCGGCTCGGCCTCGCCGCCGACGGGAAAGTCCGCGCGCAGCGGCTTCGGTGGGGTCGGTGTTTGTCCCCTGCCGGCGTGTCGTCCGCTCACTGCCGCGTCTCGCGGGCCATCGTCCGCACGGTCGTCGTCGGGCTCCTGCGTCGGCCCTTCGCTTAAGTCGGGCCTGTCCCTCTACGGGGGGGATATTCAAAAATAGTCAAAAAATTGTTTGGGAGTATTTTTTGACCATTTTGGAATATGTTTTGAATGTTTTTAGTTTTCGTCGAGAATCCCCCTGTAGGGGGACACGCCCGACTCAAGGTCACTGCCGCGTCTCGCGGGCCCTCGTCCGCACGGTCGTCGTCGGGTGACTGCGTCGGCCCTTGGCCCAGGCCAGAGTCTGCCCCGCGCTGCGGGTGCGCAGGCCCCCGACGCAGCCGGCGGCCTCGACTTGCGGAGCAGCGGCGCGGAGTGCTCTGGCGCATCGGCTGCGCCACATCGGTGCGCACTGAAGTCATGCAGACCAAGGGCTCCCACGAGGGCGCGAAGTTATTCGCGCTTCGCGGTCCTCGTTCCTTCTCCCCCTCCTCCTCGTCCTCCTGTTCTCCCTTTGGGGGGGCGGCGCGAGAGCGCGAAGTCATTCGCGCTTCGCGGAGCGCGAAGCGCGAAGTTGGGAGCCCTAGCAGACACATTCCCGGCTGCGGCGAGCATTGGAGACGCTTACGGCGAGTCACCGTCGCCCACTGTTCCTGGTGAGCATTGGGAGCCTTGCGGCGAAGAACAGCCGCCGACTGCTTCGTGGAAGCGCCTGCGCCGCGAGATGTCGGGAGCACGTGCGGCCAAGGCGGTGGACCGCGTGTTCCGAAAGCTGCCGGGGAAAGCGCTGGGGGTAACACCTGGGGAGGCTCTTGGGGCTGCCTTGGGGCTCCCTTCTGGCCTTCGGGCCTCCCGTGGCTCTCTTGGGCCATCTTGGGGCCTCGTTGTTAGGCTGTCTGACTTCTCTGGTGTGGACGGCTGGACTCCACCGCGCATTACCTCGTTCGCGAGATCCTGCCCTCGATCATGCAGGTGGTCGCGAGGCACGCGCCCAGCCTGAAAGCGCGGGAAAACTGCCCTCGATCATCGACCGCAACCCGTTGGGCTCCACGCACGGCGACCCGCTGCTCGTCCTCGGCCCGGGCACTCCACGGGAGCACGCCGCGGCCCGTCGATTCGAAAGTTCCCACGGGAACGGCGGCCATGTTACACGGGCATCGCGCTCACAATAACAGCATGGTTTTCCTGCGCGCGCCGCCTCGCGGACAGAAGAAAAGCTACACGCGGCCAAGATGGCGCGGGAGCAAAGTATGCCCATGTGGTGAAAATGAAGATCGCCTATTGTCGGCAGCACTTGTGGGACACCCGATCAATTCCTGTCGAGTCGGATCCTCGCACCACCATCTTACAGGCATTGAAAGAGGGGTTGATCAGGTCAGAACGTTGCTCTGGGCCTCCGCCCATATCTCGCAGCGTTGGTCAGGACGAACCTGCGTCGCGTTCATCGCCTGGTCCAAATGGGAAGGCGACGCAATTTTGCTGGCGGGCGCAACTTAGATGCGCTCCACGATTTCACGCAGTGGCAAGACAGCATCTCAGATTGTCACGTCGGCGCCACGGAGGGCAGGTGCTGCGGTTGGTCCAATGCTCCCAGCCATATCCATATCATTAATGTATGTCCCGTGAGTGACGGGTTCCGCGACTATTCCTTCATAGCCTGTATTCGGCGGCTGCGGCAGGTGGCATCGACATCGCGCCCATGGTACAAGCACTCTTCCTTCTTCCCCTCCTCCTCAGTTCCTTTCCCTTATGTGTAACTCCTCCCTGTCGGATTTCGAGGCCGGTCGGAAGGGCTGGCCGGGCGTTTCGCTTAAGATCGCCATGCCATTTGTTAGACTGAAGCGTAGAAATTGAAACAGCTTCAAACATGGAAGGCGGGTCGCTTCTAAAATTTCGCTCTCGCCTCAACGCCGCGCACATTATGTTTAAAAGTTTGCAAGAGCTTCGCGGATTGAGGGCGGGTCGTTTTCAAAATGTGGGCACATGTGTTTTTTAGTTGCAAGAGCTTCACGGATTGAGGGCGGCTCCTTTTCAAAATGTGGTTCTCGCTTTAGCGCCGCGCACGCTCGTTGCAACATTTGCAAGACTTTCGCGGGTTCGCATGGTTAGCCGTCCAGAAGATCTGTTTTCGAGCGATTGAAATTGCCAGGGCGCAACAGTTACGTTGATTCGAAGTCCCAGGAATAGTGTTCTGGCACGATTCAGGATCGCCAAGACGCAACAGTCAGGTTGACTCGCGGGGCTAAATCATAACAGTGGTGTTTTGGCACGTTTCAGGATTTGCACACGCTTGTCTCCCAACGGGGCAAGTTCCTCAGTGGCAGTGAATTCTTGTATAGAGCCTATGAAGAAGGAGCTTGGAGGGAGCGAGTGTCCCAACATCGATGATGAGCCTTGGATTCGCACTGGTCATCATCCTCCTCCTACTCCTCCATGTCCCCCTTTCGCCCTCGTTGTCGCCCTTGTTCCCCCCCGGCTCCAAACCCTTCCGTCGAACAGGGCACGTCGGCCCCTCTTCCGATGGATTCCATTCGCGTTTCGTCGATGCATATATTACAAGCATGTCACGAGCCGTTGTTAATTTTGTTTTGCATTGTGGACCGACGAATTGCCTGCTTCCCCCTTGCACGCGCACGTTACTGCATGTCGAGCGGGTCCGACCGCACAGGCGGATTTCAAGAGGAGCAAAGCCATTTTCTGCGGTATGGGCGAGACGTGCGTGCACGCATTCGACGGGCTGTCGCCGCCTTCCCTCGACATGTCGACCCAATAACCGCAACAGGTCTTCAGTACCCCCCCGTCAATGGGCAAGAAACGATTGGCTCAGGGAGCTAATTCAAGGCTTCCGCACCCAGCAGTAGCCCGCAGGTAACTACAGCTTCCGCTGCCGCCGTCGTCGTCATCGTTGCCGTCGGCGCCGTCGTCGTCGTCGTACTACAACGGCTGTTCCTACTACGATTAGCATTACGACTACTGCTACTACTACTACTACTACTACTACTACTACAC